TCTGCCGTGGGCAGCGTTGTCCATAGGATCAGTTCAGTAAGTTGAGATCGAGTAGGCGAGTGCTGAGAAGTATCGCCTAGGCAAGTAGTGACAAATAGACACGTGATATCAGACACGTAGTACCAAGTAGACAAGTTGTATCCAATAGCGGATAGGGTCAAATAGGTATGGAGTATCACTTGTCAACCAGGTACTACGTGTCTATTGGATACAACTTGTCTACTAGGTACTACGTGTCTATCGGATACAACTTGTCTACTAGGTACTACGTGTCTATCGGATACAACTTGTCTACTAGGTACTACGTGTCTATTGGATACAACTTGTCTACTTGGTACCACGTGTCTATTGGATACAACTTGTCTACTTGGTACTACGTGTCTATTGGATACAACTTGTCTACTAGGTACTACGTGTCTATCGGATACAACTTGTCTACTTATCTTCTTATCTTATATAATACAGACGTTACTTCAAAAAAGAAGATGATTACGTCCTACGCGTCATGCATTTAGTCATGCATATTAACCAATGACTTAAATTCTGCCAAGTCACTGTTTTTTTTGGCTAGCTCAGGCAACCCATTCCATGCTCTAATAGCACTAGGGAAGGAGTATTTGTACAAATTTGTCCTAGCATATGGGACGAGGAATGTGCCTTTATTTTTGTGTCTTTCAGAGTATTTTATTAAATTTTGTTTTTGTATTTGAAGATTATGGTTCAGTGTTTTATGTATAATTGCTACTTTACTTTTGAGTCTTCTGTCCTGAAGGCTTTCTAAATTTAGTGATTTTACTAATGGTGTTACCCTAGTCAAATGTGAATATTCGTTTGTTATGAATCTCACTGCTCTATTTTGTGTTTGTTCTAGTTTCTTAATGTTTTCTTGAGTTGAGGGGTCCCACACGGTGGATGCATATTCTATTATTGGCCTAACCAAGGTTAAATAACATTTTAGTTTTATGTTCTTATTTGATTTATAGAAATTTCTTTTAATAAACCCTAATGCTTTGTTGGATTTTTCTATAGTTTCATCAATATGTGGATTCCATGACAGTTTTTCATTTATTATAACACCTAGGTATTTTGAGTTTTTAGTCTGTGTTACTGGTTTGCCATGAATAAGATAAGTGGAATTAATTTGTTTTAGTTTTTTTGTTACTCTTAATAACTGACATTTTTCTGGGTGGAAAGACATGCTCCAATTTGATTCCCATTTCTGTAATTCATCTAATTCTCTTTGTAAAATATCTGTGTCTTGTTTTGTTTTTATTGTTCTATATATTATGCAATCGTCTGCAAATAATCTGACTTTTGTTCCTGAACTAATGCAATTTGGTAAATCATTTATGTAAATTAAAAATAGTAGTGGACCCAAGACTGTTCCTTGAGGTACACCTGAGTTTACTGTTATTGGTGTTGATTTAGAGCCATTTATTATTACAGTTTGTTCTCTCCCTATCAGAAAATCTTTAATCCACTGATGCAGTGGACCGTTAATGCCGAAATATTTTAATTTTTTAAGCAAACTATGGTGGTGAACTTTGTCAAAAGCCTTGGAAAAATCTAGTAAGATAGCATCTATTTGTTCACTATTATCTAAACCTTTTGAGAAATCATCAATTAGTCCTATTAGTTGTGTTTCACATGATCTATATTTCCTAAAGCCATGTTGGTATGGGGTGAGGACATTATGTTTGTCTAAGTGGTTTATGATATTGCTACATATTATGTGTTCTAGTATTTTACATGTGATGCTGGTAAGTGATACTGGTCTGTAGTTTCCTGGATCAGATTTTTCTCCTTTTTTAAATAGGGGGGTGACATTAGCTTCTTTCCAGTCCTTTGGTACTCTGCCCTGGTTAAGCGATGCATGAAAGAGTATTTTGAACACTGCGGCTAGCTCATTGCTTAGTTCTTTGAGTAATCTAGCTGGAATACCATCAGGTCCAGACGCTTTATTTGGTTTGGTGTTGGCTAATAGTTTTTTAATTCCATTTTCTTGTACTACTAAATCTTCTATGTTGTCTACTTGGTTCAAATTAAGAAATATGTCTTTGTCTCCTGGGGCTGAGAATGCTGATGCAAAGTATTTGTTTAGGATGTTTGCTTTAGTTTCATTATCATTATGTATTATGTTATGTTCATCTTTTAATGGCGCTATGCCTGTTGTTTCCATTTTCTTAGACTTAATGTATGACCATAGGTTTTTGTTGTTATCTTTAGATATTACATTGTTTATGTATTCACTCTGCAGCTGTCTGCTTACTTTTTGGGTTAGGTGTTTAATTTTTATATACTTTTTGTAAACTCTTTCTGCCTTGGTTTCTTTAAATTTTCTATATAGGTTTTCCTTCTGTTTACAAAGCTTCTTTAATCTATTATTAAACCAGCATTTATTTATTTTGTTTGATGTGTATTTAGTTGGTATATGATTTTCTATAATGCTTTTAAGATGGTTTTTAATGAAATTCCAGAGGTCATCGACTGGTTGGTTAATGTCTTTTTCTAATAAGAATGTTTGTTGAAAGTTTAATGCAGCTTGGTGTAGTTGTGTTAGGTTACATTTATTCCAGAGTAAGATTTTTCTTTTGGGTTTTGTATTGGCTACTGCTTTTATCTGACTGTGTATTTTTATGATCTCATGGTCTGATAGACCAGGGATAATATCATAATCAACTACTAATCCAGGTCTGTTGGTTAAGAAGAGATCTAATGTGTTGTTTAATCTAGTTGGCTTTTTAATGATTTGATCTAAACTTAGGTTGTGTAAAGTTTCTATGAAAAGCTCATTTATGTCCTTAAGGTTTTGGTGTTTATCTATGGTTAGTGTTTATATCAGGTAGGTTGAAGTCACCCATAATCCAAAAAACTGCATTTTTATTTGTCTCTTTAAGTGTAGTAATCTGATTACATAGTTCCTGCATGTATTCTAAACTAGAATTTGGTGGTCTGTAAATGCTGCCTATTATAAGGGATGTTGAGGTGGTATTAATTTTACAAAATGTAGATTCTATGTTTTTTGAGTTAGGTAAGGTAATTTCTTCTGCTATAAGAGTGTTTTTTATTGCTAAAAGAACTCCTCCATGATTATCAGCCCTATCTTTTCTAAAAATTTCATAATTACTATTGAAAATTTCTGCATTATAAATTTCAGGATGTAGCCAAGTTTCTGTTCCTGCAATTATGTCTGGTTTCTCACATTCTAATAAAATTTCTAAGTCTGCTGTTTTGTTCCTAATGCTTACTAGGTACTACGTGTCTATTGGATACAACTTGTCTACTTGGTACTACGTGTCTATTGGATACAACTTGTCTACTTGGTACTACGTGTCTATTGGATACAACTTGTCTACTAGGTACTACGTGTCTATCGGATACAACTTGTCTACTAGGTACTACGTGTCTATCGGATACAGCTTGTCTACTTGGTACTACGTGTCTATCGGATACAACTTGTCTACTAGGTACTACGTGTCTATCGGATACAACTTGTCTACTAGGTACTACGTGTCTATTGGATACAACTTGTCTACTTGGTACTACGTGTCTATCGGATACAACTTGTCTATTTGGTACTACGTGTCTATTGGATATAACTTGTCTACTTGGTACTACGTGTCTATCGGATACAACTTGTCTACTAGGTACTACGTGTCTATTGGATACAACTTGTCTACTAGGTACTATGTGTCTATTGGATACAACTTGTCTACTTGGTACTACGTGTCTATCGGATACAACTTGTCTACTTGGTACTACGTGTCTATTGGATACAACAAGTAGGCAGACACCAGAGGGAGGCACCAGATATTCCAGATAAGGCGGATGAATGTTGTAGTCCGGACTCAGGTGAATCAGTCTGATAAAAAAAATAGCAAAATGGAATTCAATATATTGTTACGACTTTGGAGTAGACTAAAGGAAGTTAACTCACCGATTGTCGGGTCGCCGATATCCTTTTGATTGCAGAATTACAATTCAACTATTAACAGTGAATGCTCCAAATAAAAAGAAATAATTTCAAAGTTTTCCTAATAAAATGTACATATCCAAATTCACACACACACAAATTACGATTCAAGAAAAACAATCCTCCGTCGAAAAATCAGTGATCGTAACTCCAGCTAATTCACACATCGACACACTCGCTCAGGTCAGTTTCGCCTCCAAACATAAACAAAATACAAAAAGTTCTTATATGGGAAAAATGGTCAGTCGGGGGTGACAAGTTTGCAACACTATGTTCTGAGTTCTGAAGTTTATTACTCTTTTTCTTTCTCAATGAGAGACACAAGTCGATACATGTATAGGCTAAATATAGAGAGAGAGATAAAGAGAAAAAAGAAAGTACATTCATAAATGCTTTATCGTTTTTCTTAAACATGATAACAATTTGATATTTATACTTCAAAAACATGAAAAGATTTCTGTGCCATTGTGAAATGCATGGTAACAAAATATAAATGTATATGTATATTATATATTGATATTTAATGAATACATCAAAAACATCAATACATCAAAATAAAGATGATAAATTCTATTCATAAAATATCTTCTTTCGGTGAACATCAAAAATAGTTTTCATTAAAAACACAAAAAGAAAATAAGAATATGAAAATAGTTTATGTAGCAAACATTTTTTTTTTTCAATATCACAGAATCAAATATAATAATTATATATAATTTAATCCAAAAAAATGAAATATTTTTAAATTTTCTGTTTAAAATAATTTAAAAATATTAATACATATATTTTTTTTAAAAATTAAATAAGTCATATAAATGGAACAAGCGAAATAACAAGGCAAAGCTGTTACTAAGCAACATTTGTTCCAACTCTACCCAATATGTAAGGGCGTAACTTTGTATAAGATAACACTATTCCACAAGAGGATAATACATAATAAGTTTGCACCAAAAATATGTGGAACATAACATAATTCCATCAACATTAAAACGGATAATATTAACACATTTTTTTTTTATATATTGACCAATTTACATTAACAGTACCCTTTAAAACCAACATTTTTAGTGTAGTAATGTTGGCATTCACATTTTTTATAATATAGAAGTGTATAAGAAATATAGTCTAAAACATCGCATAGTATATACTGTACACTACATTTGTAATGGCGAGTTGTGAGAATTTCACATAAGAAAATAGTGTTATAATTAAAATACAAATGGCTTTATTCATTTTTTCTAGCAAACTCAACACATTTAGATAGACGTAAAATTTGTGATTTTTAATTACATTGGCATTACATTGGCTTTATTTCATTTGATAAGTTACGGTAATAAGAACCAAAAAATGAGGATATTTTGTAATGCTGTAAAGTGTAAGGCACTTGTGTCTTGTATAAAGGCATTCAAGAAAATAGAAACAAACACACATTTGACATGACTACATAAGAATCAAGTCTAACCAAAATCAGGGGCGTAGCTAGGAATTTTCCATCATTTGGGAGCCCGGGGGGCTTGACATCTTTGGAGGCCCCTGCATTTTGAGTAATATTTAATATTTAATGTAAAAAAAAAAACTCATTTGGGGGCCCCGCTCAAGTGGGGACCCAGGTGATTTTCAAATTCTCCCCCATCCTCCCCCCACCCAAGCTACGCCACTGACCAAAAGTCAACTTTAAGACCTCTTCAAAAAGTTTTTATCGAAACTTCAATAGGTCAAGACGTTGATTAATTTAACCAAAAACATCAAAATCTCAAGATGTAGATTAACATAATCAAAATTTCCATATATCAAGATATTGAATGTCAAAATCGAAACTTCTATATCGTAAGATACCCGGTATTGATTAAATTAAGCTAAATTTATATGTCTAGATATTAAGCTTAGCAAAACTTAAATTTCTCTTCAAGACATTGAATATCAAAATTAAATAATCAATATCTGAAGATACTGATATTCTTTAACTCCAATATCTCGTCGAATTTTGGATTAACTATATCGAAACTCAAGTAACGTGGCAGGATATGAGTTAACTATATCAAAATTCCAAGAACATGGCAAGATATGAGTTAACTATATTAAAGTTCGAAGAAAGTGGCAAGATTTCAATTTAACTTTATCAAGATTTAAAGAACATTACAAGATATGGGTTAACTACAAACTATAGAATTATAATATTGTCAGTTTTATGTATGTTTTTTTTTAATTTCAAGTTAGTATCGATCAATATAAATAAAACATTGTAAACGTGAATGCGCAGTTATGAATCACAAAATATGGCTGCCAGGTCGTGTGGTATGCGCTCTGGACTGTCGTTCAGTGGACATCTTCAACTCTGAAGATGCATCCGAAAACAAAACTCTAACAATGGAAGCTCTTATTAAGCTTAATTATATGGGTTGGATTAAATATATTTGCACCAGTTTTATGGTGGAATGGGGGGGGGGGGGGTGTAAGAAGAAGGCCTGAATTCGAACACGACTGCTCAAGCCTCTTATAGGCCAACAAACTAACCACCGTGCTAAAGTATCACTTACGAAACTAGAAAGAGCTAAAGTTAACTCTGGTTAGCTTGAAGCTCTAAAGCGGCGACCGACAAAGTTCAACGTGAGTTTATATAAGCTTTGTAATAAGTAAAAAAGTAGTCACAATTTTTTGTGAAAGGCACTCAACAGAAACGGACATTTATCTACTTATAGTACGAAAATCCAAAATTCAGAGTTCTTCCCACCAGTATAACCAGCTTAGAATTTTAATCCCCAGTTCTCATTGCAAAAAAAAAATTTAAATGGCTGATGTCTCATTGGCTGATGTCTCTGTGGCTGATGTCTCTATGGCTGATGTCTCTATGGCTGATGTCTCTATGGCTGATGTCTCTATGGCTGATGTCTCTATTGCTGGTGTCTCTATGGCTGATGTCTCTATGGCTGATGTCTCTATGGATTATGTCTCTATGGCTGATGTCTCTATGGCTGATGTCTCTATTGTTGATGTCTCTGTTGCTGATGTCTCTATGGCTGATGTTTCTATGGCTGATGTTTCTATGGCTGATGTCTCTATGGCTGATGTCTCTATGGCTGAAGATAACTTTCGTAACTTATGTAAGGGACCTAATTACAGTCAAAAAAAAGGGTCTGTAAGAGTCACGATGTTAAAAATCCCAGTGCTAGCCTTAATACGAACTTGAGGTTGGAGAACCTCGTTTTGAAAGCCAGTCACTTGACTACCCAGTCAGCTGGAAGGCTATGGAGCCATGTGTATTTATACAGAAATAATACAAATTGAACAGACAAAACATTTGCATAACATTTTCATAAACACCTTTTAAACAAGAAAGATAATAAAAGTTACAGATAATGTTAGTATAGGACCGTGAGTTCCGTACATTGGACAAACGTTCTCACTCACAAATTAGCTTCACTAGTTCAACAAAACAGAAGTAAGTCTAACCACCTTGCTCTCCCCGACTATGCCACATAGCTATTAGAGTTGAGTTGAAGGTCAAAGTCTCAATCGATATCTTTCGGTTTGCAGGCAAAGCGCCTGAACACTCAGCCACCACAGCACAGTTAGCTATGCATTTTTTTAAATGTCATTCTAATCCAGGGTATACAAAATTCTAAATACATCCTGGACTTTATTTTTAATGTTAACAGCTGTCTAACTCTTATTAAAATGAGTACAGTTGAAACGATAACAACTTCTGATCTTCGATGACTCTAGTGTCTAGCCCAAGAAAGCGCGGACAGTTCCCCTGACAGGCTTCCTGCAGACTGCGCAGTCTTTCAAAGCTCCCGCACACTCAGCGCATGAGACCAGATGACCACAGGGCAGAAACACCACCTCAACATCTTTGTCCATACAGATCTTACACATCGTCTGCTGACGTAGCTCATTGTTTCTCTCTTTCATTTTGCGAATAGATTCTGAACAGAATACCAGAGAACCAAATGAAGTACAAACATAAAATATGAAGAGTCTTTTTATTTAGAATTAATATTGTCGTATCGACTATATTTGAATCTGAGCTCTATGACCATCAGCCCTTGCTCTAACATTCTATTGATTTGAAAACATCTAGGAGTGGACTATGCATACACCATGTTTATGTGGTAGGTTGAAACAGAGAGTAAAAAACAACGTGTGTACACTAATTTTAATTGTTATACTACACTAATTTTTAATACCTCTTGCTAGGCAATCTCAACATTTATGAACATGCAAAATCTAAAAAAAAATAAATCCTTTTGTTTTCGTTTTGTTGTATTAAAATCAAATCAAATTCCTTAAAAAGCTATTTAATATACTACTCCATCTTCCCTAATGCTATTAGAGCATGGAATGGGTTGCCTGAGTCAGACAGGAAAACCAGTGACTTGGTAGAATTTAGGTCATTGGTTAATATGCATGACGCGTAGGACGTAATCATCTTCTTCTCGGAAGTAACGTCTATATTATATAAGATAAGATAAGATGCCATTGATCACTCCTCTAGGCGTAAAGCTCTGAGAATCTGTAGTTCACGCAGGGAGCCAAAGAGGATAGCCAAGAGCAAAGAGAAATATTTAGGCAAAAAAAACTCCTAGAGAGCAAACTATGGGAACAATAAGTCCAACCTACTGGTGCCTGGAGTATAACTTGGGTTTTCCAAGACGATTAAACTTCACCATCATTTCCTGTTACTAAGAAATGAGATTGTGCTCATCTGTGACCACCAAAGAACGACTTTATAGTTTTTAATGTATTTCGGGCTAACACATCATTTCAAAAAGTGATGCATATTTCATAAGAAAAAAAAGGAAAAAAAAGAAAATTCGCATTTTCGTCATAAATTTGATTGTAAATCACAAGTACAGGCTAGTGGTCCTCGTTCTGGTCACCTCCCTCTAATGATAAGATAAGCTTACCCAAATCTTGGTTTGTTGTTGTATTTGTCAACCCATTCAAATGTTTGCTGGTCAGTTGTGGACTGCTCCCATTCCATTCATTTAACTTTTTCAACAGCACGTCAGCGGACATAAGAATGTTTTCTTATAGAGATAGAACAAAAGTTGGGATAAGTGTTATGTCTGGACAGTTGGAGTCGTTACAATATAAAAAAATAGGTGCCGGTACTCAGTGATTAGGGTGCAGGTACTCAGTGATTGATTGCCTAATATTAATAAATTAATAATATACGTTAAAATATGATGAGAAAAAAAACACATTTCCCCCCCACATTCAAACAGGTGCCGGTACACAGTACTGGTGCGTATCGTCACAAAAAAAGACCTACGTATATATATATATATATGTATGTATGAAAGCAATTATTTATCCAGATTGCGAACATAATAAGCCGAACTATATATATATATATAAACCAGTACCAATATAAACGCATTATATCCAGATTATATATGTATAATGTATTGGAAATAGAGCAAGGTAAATTAATTTTAAAAGACTATTATTTAGACCTAATGGCTAACCAAAGGGAAACGAAAGATAACCATGTAAAGTGTTGTACTTTAGACATACTGTGTTATTTCCCTTCTTAAAAAGTAATGTTTAATATTGTTAAGTTTATAACCTTAATTAATATAACTATATTTTCCAGAACTACCTTGAGACTTAAGGAGGTGTGCGACTTCAAGAACCATTTTCTCTGAGTATCCAAACTCCATCATCGCTCTGACAGCGGGGTCTCGTTTTAAAGGATTACTTTTACTGTCTGAAAGAATGTACACACTTAATGGCATAGTTTGGCTTTGATTATTTATGACAAGGTCGTCTACGCTATTTCCGATGTTTAAAGCTAAGGAGTATGGCTTAACAACTTACCAAGCTGAAATGCTGATGCCGATATTCCCATTTCGTCAGTCACCATTTGGTAAGATATCTTCAAACGAAGAGAAACAATTCCATATTATGCACATGCTATTACACCATAACGTAATCTCAAACTTATATTAAAAATAGTTTACATTGTGGAAAGTAATATGCTACGGCGTACAAATATAAAATAAAGAGACTATGTAGAATCGGGCTAACACATCATTTCAAAAAGTGATGCATATTTCGTAATTAAGCTACAAATATGTTAAGTCATATATTGCAATAAATTTATGTTTACCTGAAAGCATGGCCGGTCCTAATAATTTCGGGGCCCTATGCGAATCGGATTGCGCGGGGCCTAGTCTGATAAATATAGATCTAATTCCAAATGTAAGACTTTGTATTAGAAAATATATTTGTTTTTGCAATAAATTTTATTGAATGAAAGATGACCATGCCATTTTTTTTCCGCGCATAGGATTGGCACCCCAAAATGACGATTTTGTCTATTTACAGGAGATTTTTTATGAGTTTTCAGAAGATTTTTTTCATTTCAGGAGAATTTTATCATTTCAATAGATTACCAGGACGCTCTTTAAAATCACGAGGCTAAGGAAACCCAGTTATTATATATACGTTAAAATGGTTTAATTTAATAATTTGCACCTAAATTTAACGCAGGGCTTATTAAAGTGCGGGGCCCTCTGCGGCCGCGTATGTTGCAGTGGCCTAAGGTCGGCCCTGCTTGAAAGTAATTATTCGACAACTAATTCAACAGTTTGTGGAAACTGATATTTAAAACTGTAACAATCTTAACCAGTGGTTCTCAACTTTTTAAGCTTCGATGACCCCTTTTTACAATCCCCACTCTGCGGCGACCCCCATCCACACAGCAAAAAAACAATCCATATTTTCGATGGTCTTAGGCGACCCCTGGCAAATCGTTAATTGACCCCTAAGGGGGTCGCGACCCACAGGATGAGAACTCCTGATCTTTACTCTTTAAGGACGAAAATAATCACCTTGTCTTTGGTTTTGTTAAGCTCCTGCACCGTGTCAACGAAATTCTGTCCCATGAGTTGTCTGATGAAAGCACACTTGGGGAACCACCTGGCATGTTCTACCCAGACGTCATCTTCATCTTCCCAGTTTCTTAATCCACCACCACAAAAGAAACACCTGGCACAGTCTCCGTAACCTGGAAACAGAGAATTGTAAATAACACCTGGCACAGTCTCCGTAACCTGGAAACAGAGAATTGTACATAACACCTGGCACAGTCTCCATAACTTGAAAATAGAGAATTGTACATAACACCTGGCACAGTCTCCATAACTTGAAAATAGAGAATTGTACATAACACCTGGCACAGTCTCCATAACTTGAAAATAGAGAATTGTACATAACACCTGGCACAGTCTCCGTAACCTGGAAACAGAGAATTGTAAATAACACCTGGCACAGTCTCCGTAACCTGGAAACAGAGAATTGTACATAACACCTGGCACAGTCTCCATAACTTGAAAATAGAGAATTGTACATAACACCTGGCACAGTCTCCATAACTTGAAAATAGAGAATTGTACATAACACCTGGCACAGTCTCCATAACTTGAAAATAGAGAATTGTACATAACACCTGGCACAGTCTCCATAACTTGAAAATAGAGAATTGTACATAACACCTGGCACAGTCTCCATAACTTGAAAATAGAGAATTGTACATAACACCTGGCACATGTAACCTGATAAAATGAACAGTTTGTGACTCCTGACGAGTCTCCGTAACCTCTACAAAATATCTGGTATGATCTATGTAACCTTAGAAATATGATAAATGTTAAACTGTAAATATCTTGATAAACATTTTGTTCAGTAGAATGATAGTAGGATGATTGTTATTGCTGGTCGTTGACTTGTAGCACCAAACTGCTGGTAGAGAACTAAACCGCTGTAGGCGTGTTGTATTTTACCTTATAAAACTAAAATAACTTGAATACCTTCCTTGTAACCAACTTAAATATAACGTTTGTTAGATTGTAGATGAATTTGAATCGACATGATATGAAATAAAATTGTATTTGTAAAGCAAATTCTAACTACAAAAACATGTCTTAACACTCTGTTATCCTTAAGTCTTCTCGCGTACCCAAGACAGCTTATGACCGTGCCGCTTATCTTACAACCACTCACTAACTTCTCACTGTCACCATAGAAACACACACATACACACACCATAAAAATGATCACGAACTTTTTTAAAGCAACAATTGTTTATATTACCCGCATAATAAAATCCAGCGTCAGCCAGGTCGTCCACTTGAATATGATGCGATCTTGGCCAATTGGAAAAAGTTTTAATTCTTTCACGCTTTATTGCATACTCTGGACGTTTAGGTCTTTCCGTAACGATTCCCAGTTCTGAGTAGGTCGGGCCTGTATTTCTGCTAATACTATTAGGAGGCTGGGATGTGTCAGGTTTCTTGGGGTCTGTAGTAACAGGCTGAGAAGCCACAGTGTCACTCTGAAGATTGGAGTAAACATTGGGTGCTAAAAAGATGCTGCTGTTTTCTGAGACTGGGGAATTGTACTCGTTTGGGTTACGCTGCACTGGACTCCTTTCTGTTCTATTTGTATCCGATGAAAGAGGCTCATTCCTAGTCAGTGGCTGAGTCAGAACAAGAGGAGAGTTGGAAGAGTGTGCATTTAGAGAGTCGGATGAAGGGGGCTGTACTGACAGAGGCAGTGTGACAAATGCTTGTTCTAATGTAGCGTAGGGCCTGAACGAGGGTGACTCGTTTTTTGCTTGCTGATTAAAGGTTGGGATATTTCTGTTTGGGATAGTTTGGGATTTAGTGAAGCTATTAGCACTAGCGTCATTGTTTATGTTGACCTGCTCTTGACAAGCAATTGGAGCTGCGTCTATCTGTATTTCCAATGAGGGTGTTTCATTGTCCTCTTTCCTGACATCGTGGC